TGTGTACTTAAATGTACTTAAATTTATTAATAGACCTAATAATCCTCAATATGTTGTTATATTAATTAATATAGTGCATCTAGGGTATAATTTGAACTATAAGAACTTTTGATACTATTATTGACACATTGCTTTCTTATATTTACGTAAATACTCGTAAATATAAGAAAGCAATGTGTAATATCTCGTAATATATGAAATAATCATCGTGGTAGAGCCATACTGTAGCTTTATTAATAGTATAGTTGTAGCACGAATGGGTCGGCTCGACCAGGGAAGGTCCACGCTCTCACAGAATACCAGCGTAAAATAGCAACTTGACACACGTGTTTTGTATGGTGAGTGTAGAGAACCGGAGACCGTTTTTACTGGAAAAGAGGTATTTCAGCTTAGTCCTCACGGCACGGGTAACAACGCATCTGCATTTTGATTCTTTATTGAGGATAAATGTAGGTGTCTATAGGTCACAGCAACCACTTACCATCAGGTGGACTGTGTACTCGTCTGTCACCCTATCCTATGAAAAATCTACAATTACATTAAATGAAATTAATTTTACGGATTTTATCGCGTTTAAATTTAACTTTTTGGAACGAAGTTCCTCAGCAGACGCTTCGAATTTGGTGAGGCTAGGCAAGAAAAAGTGTAAGATTTTTCCGTCACGAACCCTTCTGAAGCAATGTAGACCTTGGCGGCTATAAGGAAGTGAGATGGAAAAATATCCATCTCCAGCGCACTTTTTCTTATTTTGCCATGAAAAAAATATTATTTTATTTTAAATGACGCTTCATTTTAATAGACGCTAGTAATTCATTTATTTGTATTTGTTAATCAATAATATAATACGTTTATCGATAATAATATAATACGAAAGGAACTTCGTTCCAACGGATTTCCACAACACTCACTAATGTTTTTTTTAATTATTTGTTGTTATAGCGGCAACAGAAATACACATTCTGTAACAATTTCAACTGTCTACCTATTACGGATCATGAGATACAGCCCGCTGATAGACAGACGGACGGACAACGGAGGCTTAGTAATAGGCTCCCGTTGATTACCCTTTGGGTACGGAACCCTAACAAGAAAAAGAGCAAGAAGAAATATGGTACAATGGAGAATGAGCAGAAGCTTGCTACTCAAGAAACTTTTTCTCAAGCGCTTGAAAGTTTCTCGAGCACTTTACAGTTCAGAACAATACTTACTAATGAATCGTCTACTAAAATCTATCTTTCTGTTAATCTCAATGGTGCATATTAATGAAATTCTGGTTTAATTCTACGGGAAAAAGATCTACAATTTAACTAGTACCTAACTATAACGATGAAAAATAATTTTGTATTAATGTATACTCTATACTCAAAAATGTTCGTGTTGTATGTTTGACATAGCACATCACATGTTATATTCCTATTAAAATATAGTAAAATTTTAATTTCCGTAATAAACTAGTTAGGTATAAGCTGGCAAAGCACCTGCTATTCCCCTGGTGTTTATGGGTAGATACTATCAGGTGAGCCGCATGCTCTTTTGCAGCCTTTTCTATATAAAAATATTTAATATGAACGACTACTATGTAAAAATACTTATGCGGCAAGTCTTACATGTAGTTTATATTTAGATAGTACACATGCTCACAGGCTGACGGCCTGTGAGCACTCGTTCCGAGTGGAAGTGAGATTAAATTACTCCGAATGTCTGCAATAATAATACTTAGGATTGCCAGAAGTGATTGAAGAAATTACTTGCGCAAGAATGCCTTTGCAGCTAGAGTTTGCGTTTTATGGTAAAACGACTGGTTTCTACTAAATTGAAAATGTGAAACAAAAAAATTGTACGTTTTATATAAAAATAATTCCATAAAGAGCGTTCTTAACGCTCTTTATGGAATTATTTTTATCCTATCGAGAGTATAATGTAAATACACGTTAAAACAAATTTATGAAAATAATTATTACCCTTCGCATAAATATAATCTCTATCTCTATAGGTCAATTGCTGTTTGTTAGTCTTGCTAAAACTCTAAAACGGCTCGACCGATATTGATGAATTATTTTTTGTGTTTGAATGGGTTCCTAGGTGGTTTAGGTTCAGATTTCGATCCGGTAGGTGACACTGTTAGTCGAGATCCAGAAATCACCGGTGCGAAGCCGGAGCGGATTACTGCTAATGTTTAAAAATCACACCATTCTGGAATAAGCACTAGCTGGTGTTTTATCGACCTTTTCAGACTAAAATTCGTAAAACGACGTAGGTTTTTCATAAATATCCGCACTATTTATTCACATTTAACGAGGGACCCTAGGCGCTGTTTTATTTCACATTTGCTTTTTTTTGTTTGAGGAGTTAAAAATTGTAATAAAATGTATGACTATTCAGTTTTTCTATAACTTGTTACACCATTTTTTTTCCAAAACAATATTCTTAATGTTGTTGTAAGCTATTATGTTTCACCAATATTTGTTGAAATTTGTATAAATTGGAATTATCAATAATTAAAATGTATATCGGTGTTTCCTAAACTCGAAGGATTAGATACAATAGTCGCGTTGGCAGGCGGATTGGCAATTGTAGGTAAACTAGACATTTTGTACTTAAGAGCGTGCTTTGTGAAAGATGTTGAAGCTTTTTCGTTCCGTATTTGTAGAAAACACAATTGGAATAACTGAGCCGCAATAAGTTCCTTTATTTTCACTGCTTAGTTCTTTTCTTTCTTTTTTTAAAAAACGTTACCTCCACACTAAGTTTTTCATCTGTATCGTGGGGGAAGTTTACACACATAAATTTCACAAGGCCAAACATCCAGATCCGGAACAATTATTTGTGAAATTATTTGTAATTACAAATACTTGTTCAGTGCGGGATTCGAACCTACGGCCGTTAGCGCTGCAACTCATTGCTAAGCCACTGCGCCACGGAGGCATCAAAAAGTTTATCTTGCGAAGAAGAGCCACGCTACATTGTTTCTTATGTTAAAGATGTTAACAGGAGACCTTTTTTGCTGGTATCGAGGCTTTCCACCTTAGTCGCTTAGCGGTGACAATGCATCTAAATTTTTAATTTTTTGTCGAGGATAGATGTACGTGTTGGGCCACCATCCTTTAAATTACTGCCGCCAAGCAGTAGTGCGTGGTGTACGAGTACTGTATTCCGGTATTAAAGGCGAAGAAAGCCAGTATAACTACAGCCAGAGAGGCATACCACCTTAGTCCCCCTTAGTTGTACCACAACGCATCTGTAGTTCAATTGACAGTTCCAACTCGGCTGAGCAGCATTCGAGAGATTGAGAACAAATCTTCTCGTCACGTATACCTCAAAACTTTGAAACACGAGTTGTTCAACCAGTCCTTGCATTTATATATTCGACGTGCTCAGTCCCTTTTCCCTTCAAAAATCTACTCAAAGCTTATTACTTGGAACTCTAATATTTCCCATCATAATTGCCGTCCTTAATTGTACCTATCCTACCTATCCTCAACTGTCATCATCTTGTATGTATTTATATACTTATATTTTTTTTAAACCTGATTGTCAAATTTACGTACACCTTCGCTATTTGCAATTCGTTGTAAACAACAGTTCTTTGATAAATAAGGGTTGTCTCAAAGAAATCGCTTCCAGAACGATAAGACCTATTGTACTTTGTAAATATTTATTTCATTGTGTCTCGTTCTAATGTGTATTGGTGTACAATAAAGAATATATGTTTTGTTGACAGGGATGATATTTTGATCTGGTAATTAAACAAAAGAGTGACTTTCAATAACTATTATTTATAATCTATAATGAATAAAAGTTTCTGTGTCTGTTTCTAAGAGAGAAAGAAATCACATTACCTCGATTTTTTTTTATTTCTCTAACACTATTCACCGTATCAGTGATTTTCAATACACCGGTAAATGACAACTCAAGGCTGTGCGCTAGTCGTTCATTTATTGATATTGACGGAGAAAGGTAATCACTTTGTCATTTGATGATGTACATCCAATACTTAACGTAAGAGGAATAGTAAAACAATATGTTACATAGTTAGAGGCCAGAAACAACCATATTTTAATACTGATTTCTAAGTAAATTTGAGCGCAAATAAATAAGAGAAGTAAGAAAACTCTAAAATAATAGTTAGTATAGTTTATTTAGATAGTTTGTACAATTAGTTTGTTTAGTAGAACTAACTTGACTAACTTTTAACTTTTATACCCTTTTCCTAAGTTTGTGTTGGTTTTCCAATATCCTGAGTCACCTGCAGCCATCATTTCCTGCGTCTCTTATCAGGTTGTCACTCCATCTATTGGAGGTCCGTACTCGGTAAACTTTCTTCCCCATTTGGTTCTTCGGCCCATCGTGATATACTTAGAAATGATATCCTCATTTCTAAGTATATCTGCAATATATCCAGAGTAACCGACATAGCCCTAAAACAATTTTATCAGCATGCATTCTAAAACTCTTTTAGAACAAATAAGGCTTGTTTGGGATACATTATTTTATTTATTTTACTTATACTAAGTAAAATATCTACAAAATTACGTTTTACAAGTTTTTTATGGCTGATACTCTACACTAAATATTTCTACATTTACTCCACAACTTTTGAAAATGTATATGGCTATTAGCGTATAAAATACAATAGTGGAATACATATAACAGTAATAAAAGCGATCAAAAGCGTCTACAGATTTCATCTTTATGAACGTGTCGTGTTGAATCGATTTTAATATAGCCCTTTTGGCAGGTTTCAATGGCGGCAATGACTTTTATTTCGTTTGTAAAAACGAGAAATGTTTTTTAATGTTAATCACATTTACATTTCGTTAGAAATCCACTGGATGTGAAAACATTAGTACTGATTCTCATAATGTAATGTTAAATTTATAACTAGGCCGTTTTTTTTCGTAATTTTAAGGTTATTCAAATCTTCTTCGTTAGAGTATTATAATTTATAACATATATTTTTTGTAACGTTGTGACTAATTATATGCTTACCGTTGTTGCAGCAAAATTGGACGGCGTTAAAACATATATGCGGATGAGGCGAGTACCAACGCATTTGCAAGTGAAAGTGATAAAATGGTTCGATTATCTTTGGCTCACTCAAAAGTGTTCCGACGAGGAAAAGGCTGTCTCCTGTCTCCCCGACAAACTTAAGGCGGAAATTGCTATAAACGTCCATCTTGACACGTTGAAGAGGTTTGTTTTTTCAGAAAATCGTTCTTTTAAAATATTTATATTCTGAGTTATTTTAATGTTTTCATCGTTTTAAGTGTTATTTAACATTTATCTTTTAACGTATTTGAATTTTTTACAAATATTGTAAGTATAAGAAATAATAAATTAGAAGTTATGTGTATCTTCTGCTCATATTTTCATATATTAAAAAAATACTTTTATTTTTGTTATTATATCACTTTGTCGCTAACGCCGCACCTTTGCGGTGTCACTTGGCAAACTTCAATTTTTCAAAAAATTACAGGAGAGCAAGAAAACATTTGACATTCCCAGATTACTAGCTTTATTCATAAGAAAATTTATCTTATTTGTAATTTTCCATTAAGTCTAACATATTTAATTTTCTGATAAAAAAAGCTAGTAGTCGGGGAATAATAAATGTTTTCTTGCTCTCCTGTAATTTTTTGGAAAAATTGAGGTTCGCCCATTTGCGGCGTCAACGACGTCTTGAGGGCGAAATACAAGAAATAGTTCGCAATTTCAGCTGTAGCGATTATTCTGATTTTTCCTCGAGAAAAGTATCCCGATCCAGAACAATTATTTGTAGGCCATACAAATATTTGTCAAACAGTCGTAAGAGGCGATAGAAAGAAATCAATCAAGTGATGTGTAGCAGCATTTCTCCTATGAAGCAACCTATAGGGGAGGCCTATTTTCAGCTGTGAACTTTAAAATACTATGTTATATGAATGAATACAAACAGTAATATGTTCCGTTAGAATGCGCCGCTGTGCTTCTGAGCCGTCAAATGAAAATATAAAGTGTTCAGAGTTCCAGCGGAAATCTTCATTCACGCAATAAAATAAATTGTTTCTGTAGCCTAACAAAAATATATTTTCTTTCTGTATCTGCAGCCTTCTTTATATGAAGTTGGTTGCTGGTGTCCATAGACTGCAGTAGCCAATTACCATCAGGTGAATTTTTAGTTCGTGTGTCACTTCAGTTTTATATAAAAACCCTTCCATTTACTGACGATGTAGTTATTATAGCAATATCGCTGGAGTACTTTAGCACTATGCTCAATGATCTTAACAACGTTACCTAACAGATAGAACTTAAGATGAACACGGATAAGCTAATTGAGAATACTATGCTCGAGGTTGTTGACAAGTATGTTTACCTAAGGCTGATTGTTCGGTAGAATCCATTACGATGATATCCGCAGTAGAACCAGAGTAACCGGCATAGCCTTATGAATCATTAAGCTGAAATGCCAATGGGCGGTCGGCTATACGTATCGAATAACTGACAACCGATAACGAATGATGGATCTTGTGTGTGCCTTGTGTCAGAAAATGAAGTGTTCGGCCCTCCACTAGTTGGTCACTCCAAAAGTTGAAAGAATCATGCACAAAACATCAACATTCTATATGTGATATGTTTCGCATGTTGAGAACCGGAGACCCTTTTTAGGAACATGGCAGTGATAGATTAAGATTATATCGTTAACAAGATAAATCTGGTGTCATTGTCAAGTGAGAAAACAGAGGAATAAGTTTATAAAGTCTTAACGCCACTCAGAAATCCTTTAGGCTGAAACATTATCACGGGGAAACTATTACAGTATATATCTAAAATATCCATCGCCTTGTGACAATGGTTGCTGTAAAACACTCAAAACGTTTTTCAACATGGTAGAGTCATGTTGCAGCTATATTATGGCTGATGCACGAATAGGTCGGCTAGAATGGAGTAGGTTCACTCTCACAAAGAATACAAGCGTAAAATACCAGCTTAATGCTGCTGTGTTTCGTATGGTGAGTGTAGAGAACCGGAGACGCTTATTACTGGAAACGAGGCATTACATCACTCGCCTACACGAACCTCTAGTCAAAAAAGTAGTTCTACCACCTATTTTTTGTTTTTGCTTTGTGAATTTAGATTTTCCACTATGTTTAAGGAAGATAACGCTTTAGACAAGTTTTTAGCCATCAATCGTAGTATACCAACACGTGCGTTTTAATATTTTTTCAAGTTTCAAGTTTTGTACGTGGAAGAGCCATGCTGCAGCTATATTAGTAGTATAGTTGTAGCACGAATGGGTCGGCTCGACCGGGGAAGGACCACGCTCTCACAGAATACCAGCGTCAAATAGCAGCTTAACACTGCTGTGTTTCGTATGGTGAGTGTAGAGAACCGGAGACCCTTTTTACTGGAAAAGAGGCATTCATTCATCTTAGTCCTCACGGGTGACAATGCATCTGCATTTTGGATTCGCAAACGAGGATAAATGTAGATTGTCTATGGGCCACAGCAACCACTTACCATCAGGTGGACTGTGTGCTCGTTTGTCACCCTATCCTATAAAAAAAAAGTTAAACTAATAACTAAGAACTAAATAAAGCGTTGCTTTAAATACACTAGTATTATAGCGCTTACAAAAGAAACGTTATTTCATTTGTGTTTAATAATATTTGTGTTTATGATATTAGCAAAATAAAAATGAACAGTTTTTGGGTTTTTTTTTGTTTCCAATAAACCGTGGCAATAAATCATCCATTGCATAAAATATATTTTCTTAATCTTGTTTAGAACAAACACTTTTTCGTTAAAAACATTACATTATTCACAGTGTTAAGTTTTTTGTCCTCGTTATACTGCTGGCTTAACGCTGATGACATATCCCTAACAAGGTGGTTTAGACTATAAATGGGACATACAATAGGAATGGAATATCATATGTTAAAATATATTTATATTTTATTCAGAAGAGAGATAAGTTTTGAAATTTGATAATTCGAAATCGATTTGAAATCTTTATCCTCGTAAAAAATAAATTCTTAGCTAACAACTAGATGCCAACAGCTTGAGTACAATCCTCATTAATGCAGCGTAGGAGTGGCAGTTCAAGCTTAATATCCCGTGTTGTATAATTAAAACAAAAACATTCGCTTTTTACGTCCATGAATAATGCAAAAGTGTTCGTTTATACGACTGGTAAATTTTTGCCTGTGAATGATTCTGCGTTTTTATTTTTCCTTAGACTAGTGTTCACGCGGAAAAATCATAGACGTATTTTATACATTATTACACGTGAAGGACATGGTATGTCGCTCTAATAATTATTACGCTTTAGCATATTTATAAACCGTGTTATTTGATTCAAGTCCGAGTGATTTCAAGTATGGCACATCTACTTTTATTAAGAGGTGTTAGAAGCGAGGGGCTTTTGATAAATCCAACACAAGATACTTTCCGCTTAATCCTGATTATTACTTCAATACGCGATGCGGAAACAAATAAATTGTCTGATGCATACTAGGATTTAAATTCCAGGACAACAATTCATTACGCTTTGGTCATACATCTGGAACTGCAATTAATACTGATACATGTTTATGTAGCATAGTTACGTCTGTGTAGTTGTCGGTTATGTATTGTAATGTGTAGGTAAAGTATCACAGCCTCATTTTTCATGTGACTACGATATGCATATAAATGAACAAAGAGTTGCAATCATACTACATCGAATCATATAGACAAATCGATGTGTATGTAGGTGGAGATTTAGCTATATTACTGGTATAGTTGTAGCACGAATGTATCGGCTCGACCGAGGAAGGACCACACTCTCATAGAATACCGGCGTAAAATGGCGGCCAAGCACTGCTATTTCGTATGTTGAATGCAGAGAACCGAAGACGCGTTTTACTGGATAAGAGGCATCCCATCTTAGACCTCACGGGTGATAACGCATCTGCATTTTGATTATTTATTGAAGATATATGTTGATGTCTATAGGTCACAGCAACCACTTAACATCAGGTGGACTGTGTGTTCGTTTATCACCCTAATTCTATAAAAAATGTATATTATCTAAATTTCACTACTCCTCCGTACTAAGCAAACGTGAAGTGCAAAGTAAAATAAAGTAATAAGAAAATACACGGTAAGTTAAATATTTACGCGATATAAAGTACACTTTATTCAATATAGGTATTTTTCTGCTGACTTCGTAATAAAAAGTAGAAGTAGTTGTAATGTTAAGTCTCTAGTTTTTCTTACTTTTCATGAAAATATAAAAGTCAACAAGCTCCACCCTTCACATTCTAATCGTAAATAATTCACCGTATGATGGACACATCATACACACGCCACATCACTGTCACTTATAATGTTATAGCTTATGTGAAGATAAGAAAACGAAAACGTATTACATAGTTACATTAAAGGATCCATCCAAATAAATATATAATAATAATAATAAAGCTACTTTTGAAGTTTGTGTTGGTATTAAATGACAATGGCTCGTTGTGATTTTTCTCTAAATTTGCTCGTCATCGTCTGCGACATTTGCTAAAATTATTGTTAGTAAGTTAAGAACCTAAAGATTATGCTAAGAAACTTTGGAAGATTACTTTAAATCCTTTTAACGTAATCGAGCGTAACTCAAAATTAAAACAATTTGGCAACATTTCAAAATAAACAAGTCCCTAAAATTTAATAATGATAAAATTGCTTAATTTGCCTAGACTGAGTTCGAATTTATTTTGAAATAAAGTAAAATGAAATTTTCAAGGAAATGTATATTCTTTCACTTTCTGCTCTAACGAGTTGTAAAGAAAGACAACACATTTTTGAATATTCTAATAGATAATATAGAACCATTCCATAAACTGAAACATATTTTTTTATTGTTTATAATTTTGCTTTGGTGACAAACTAACTAAAGAGCGTTTGTCCTTTTGACCGGTGCTACTGTATGAAAATGTATTTTATTGAACAAAAATTATATGTATACAACATGAACTAACTACTAAATACGACACGAATATTAAACACAATAGAATTAACGTAAAGCAGTGAAGTGACAATGTGATTGACAACTTTTTAAGGATTAACGCGTCTGACTCAATCCATTATAAATGACGGTCCTTGGCACTTTGGCTAGTAAAAAATTCAAATTCAAAAGTTCATATTTACTTTGGACGACCTTATTTTGAAAATAATGAAATATTTGTATCCTATTCTTAGATTTACAATATGAAACATTGTTATTTAACGTACGTGCAATACGTACAATCAATTTCAAAACTCATTAGTTCGTATGTACCTACTTTTGTCTGACTAAATAGTCATTTATATATTTCTTCGAAAGCGAATTTCAATATTTGTAGCTGTACACGGGCACAATATTAAATCTAAAGAACGTAGTTTTCACATAATGCCCTAAATCTAGAGCGGTAATAACTGAGTTGAGAAGTAAGTAATACGACAATACAACAACAGCTCGTGAAAAATATACAAATGTACTAATTGGACGCCGGTACGTGGTGGCGTATAAATATTCACTACTCTGTGTTATCCCGTGGGTGCCGTAAGAGTCGAAAGCAGAGAAACAAAGTCAGGATATGAGCTGCAGTATTCTTCTGCCTGTAGTAACTTGACAAAAATTCCCCTATGCGAAACGACGCAGAAAAACGGCTTCCGTCAAAGCACACCGACAACGACATGGATGTCGCTCCCGGTAGTTGTTGGGAACACTACGCTCGAAGTTGTTGACGAGTATATAGGACAAATAAATGGTTCTAATTCAACTCAGAAATCAATCGGCGATCGCAAAGCTGAAAACAAGAGTACAATCAGTGCATGTTGCCAGATTATGATGGTGAAAACTAAATTAATTTTACATGATTTTCATAGTTTTATATATTGCAGATTACGTATCAGACATAACAAGTGTATAATCTGTTATATTGACTATACTAATTATACATAATGATTTCTCCTCCATACAATGGGAGTGGCCTGCGTTCAGCAGTGTATTTTTATGATCTGATTTAAAATATTTATTTTTTATTTTGTTGACAGGGTAGAGATCTTTCAGAACACGGAAGCGGGGTTTTTATGCGAGCTAGTTCTCAGACTTCGACCAGTGCTGTTCTCGCCAGGCGATTATATTTGCAGGAAAGGTATACGTGTATAAAAGTACTTCTTTTTCTAATATAAGCGATAATTTTTTATGTATTCTTGCGTTGTTTTTTTTTTTTATAAATTAGGTATATGTTCGGATGACATAAATTGTTTGACAAAATTTAGTCACGAGATACCAAGCAGATAAACTAAAAAATAATTTATTTTAATTAAATTGTCTACAGGTGAAGTTGGAAAAGAAATGTACATAGTGAACCGAGGGAAACTGCAGGTGGTAGGTGACAACGGAAAAACTGTTTTGGCAACACTCAAGGCGGGTTCTTATTTTGGCGAAATTTCCATTCTGAACATGGGCACGGCAGGTAAACAACTTGGTAAATATCGCCACGGCCCGAGACGCCACGCCATTATTATTCTATTTTATTATTTCTTGAAAAGTTTTCAAAAGCAAAAGCAAACCTTTCGAGGAGACGCTGCAGTCAGGCCGAGGGAGCGGCCGCGACGTTACCAACAGGTTCTGGGACATCATTCTTGAACGATTGTTAGCGTTCCTTTTATACCTGCTATCATTAGGATGACCTCCTAAAAGTAGTAAAGTGGGATAAGACCAGCGCTAATACGTCTTGTAATGGAGTTGTTATTAGGAAATGCTTCTACATTTTATATTTTTTTTACAACAACTGTTCGCATTTTACAATTATTATTTCGTTATTTACGCTTTATCTAGTTTCCTCTTTATCCCGATTTAAATCGTTGTAGAAAAAATTACTTTACTAATCATTATAGTGTATGGTAAGCTACTTTGTTATATTATTTTATTTCCATTTCATCATGTAGCCCTAATTTACAAGTAGAAAATGTTTGAAGGTTTTAGAAGCTTTTAGCGATAAATTTTATTTTGCATTATTGTTTCATCTCCTTTGGTTGTATTGAAGGCAGTGTCCCCGATCGCTTTGCATCCTCCCCGAATACTTCATATATTTGGCGTGACCTCTTGGTGCATGAAATCCTAATAATAATGGTACATGTTTATATTTACAAATTAAAATTTAAGATCTCTTTAGTCGTACTGTAATATTATGATAATTTAGTTTTTATTGTTTTCTTGGAACAGCAGTGATTTAATAAGTAGAAATGCTTAGTAATTTTAAAAAGTATAGACAAGTTTTTACTTGCCCTTTTCTATCTGGAACGCTTGTTCTTTGTAATAAAGCACTAACAATCCAATAGAAGTGGCTTCTTTCAGTTTGTTTAAGATTGACTATCGTATTTTTCTCAAATTATCTTTGTTTGTTTTCCAATTTATTAATCTATGTTCATACGTGAAATTCTTATTTTTCTTCACCTCTTAATGTACCTATGTATTTCAAGAAAGCTCATCCTTTCTCTTACCCTACCTACTGGTGTTATCGGCATTCCTTAATACTGTACTTGTGTATTGCTCCGGCTTTAATCAAACATATTGAAAACTTTTACGTTTCAATGGTCGAAATTACTAAAGTCGGAACAATGCATGAGACATTATATGCCGAGCACCGGTTGGCACGGAGTGTGTGGATGGCACGTCGACAGGCAACCGGCGGACAGCGTCGGTGCGTTCCGTGGGCTACTCTGACCTGTTCGTGCTAAGCAAGAAGGACATGTGGGATGTTCTCAAGGAGTATCCCGCAGCCAGAGTTCGCCTTGAAGCGATCGCCGTCAAGAGACTTGAGAAATATAAAAAGGCTCCACTAGAGAAAGGTAATTATCCAAATCCATGTTATTTCTTTGTTAAAAATAATACGCTTATATGATCTAGATTATATGATGCGATATGATCGTGATGTCTTCGAGTATTTCATTAATGTCCGAATAATAGAAAGCAATTAAGTGTCAGTTCAATCAACATAACAAAATTAAGACCCGAAAAAAAGCAACTATTTTGTGTTTTGGCAGGTTTGCGTGTCTTAGTGTGTAATCAGAGTAGTGGATAGTCAGAGTGACGGAAGAGAGGAAACAACAACATTGTACATATCAAATATAACTGATGTTTGTAAAAGATGTTTGCACACCGCTCCTACATTTGTTACTATATTTGCATAGCTATTTTAAATTAATTTTAATATATTATTTTATTTTAGTGGCAATGGGACGATGCCAATCTACGCCAGGACTAGTGGAAACGAGTGGTCGCGTTCCAATAGAAGAAATGCAGCTGCCGCCTGCTCCTATGCCCCCGCCTTTGCATATTTCACACCCGCCTTCCTATCGGGACCAGCTTTTTAGGTAAAGTAATCTAATATGTGTTATGTTCTTCCCATACCCTGATTTTTCTCAATAGGGAAACCATTGTCTTAGTCTTCATACTGTACTTAATACAGCACTGCTGAATAAAGGTCTCTTTTGCGACCATTTACATAACCATTTCTTTGAAATCGATCAAGTTATTTTTGTAAGCAGTACAAAATATACTTGCCATTGAGATTTTTCGTTAAGTCGTAGTCAATGACCCAATTTATTTTTCTTTTTTAACAAGATACTGGCCGTGAGCGGTCAATCGTCACGTATTAAGAGATGGGTAAATAGGCTTCTCGTTACTTTTCAAATTTAAAAAAAAATTGCTACTGTCTTTGGTCTGGAAACATTACATCTTAGATAAATAGTAAAAGTCATTGTACCACTATCTATCTGGCCAGGCGACCATGAAGTCGTTCTGATGTATTAAATTGAACGATATAGGTATAATATTCCTAAATTATTGAATACCAACGATTGATTGCAATAATTGATATTTTTTGTTAAGTTTTTTGATTTACTATTTAGTTTCAACTTACTGACCCTTTATTACCAGTTCGTCAGCAAGCCCCCTACGTGTAGCATCCCCCGTTGCGTCGTGTGCGTCGAGTGCTAGAAGCAGTGCAGCGGGTGGCGCAAGTGTCGCCGCGGGTAGCACCGCGCCGCGTGTACTCCTCGATTCGCATGATGTGCTTGAGTGCGAGATCAAAAGGCTACGTGAACGTCTTTATACAGTCGAGACCGAGAATGCTGCGATGTCAGCGAAACTAAGCCAGCAACAATGGGAAGTTGATCAAAGGTTAGTGTTATGTGTACTTGAAAGATATACAGCCCTATTTTTCGTAGCCAAATTTTAAACTTAAATTATTATGTAAATAATGATAAACCGTTATTGCAGTTTTTGTGAAAATACGAGTAAATAAGCATTCTACATTTATTTGAAATTATCCCAATAGTGATTTATGGGCAACAACGTTTTTGCCTACCGATCGACTCTTACGAATGTGTCCGTGCGCAGTAAAATCAGTTAAAATAATTCATTACCACTCATTTTGAATTTAAAAAATAAATAGGACAGAATATTTGATATTTTAGATTTAAATTAATTTTTCTTTGCCATTTGCCTATATTACTTATTCTGAACTTTCTCTGCAAATTTGGCCCGCTATGGAAAAATAACCATATATATACGTTGTCTGAAAAAATAGATAAGAATTTATTTTTAATTTTCTTTCCGCTGCTGCTAAAAAGCTATTAATATTTTCGCTATCCATTCTCACTATGAAATGCGTCTGCTAGGAGTGTTTAACGACAGCAGTTTAATGCCAGATATAAAACTCTGTTTTCGTTTTGCAGTTTCCCTGTTCCAAAATTGTTGCTTGATAATACTCAAAATCACTCAAAGTCAATATTAATTTTTCGCTTATGAAGTTGCTGAATTCGTTTTTATTATTTCTTAAATTACTTAAAAAATTATTGTGAAAAGTAATGTCGACTTAAAAAGACCGTGAAATCGGCTGCCCTGTGTTAAGTAATAAGTAATGTTTTTCAGACTGAATTTCGGTCACGGCGGCCAATCTCGACAGAAACAGACAGCGACTTATAATATGTATTCTCTTAACTTTTTATATCATTCGGCCAAAACCCTAAAATTTTGATGCTGTGCTATGTTTATGGAAAGGACGGAATGTAATAATATCCTGATTCCTTGTGTTGCAGCGGAACCGTAAAGTGAAGTCGCCTGGAAGCGTGCGTTAGTATTATTCGGATAAGCTTTGAATTGTTTGATTTTGGTGCAGTTTTCCCTATCATTGAAATGGAAAAACATCATCCATTTTGACGTTAACGTCACTTATGCAAACTAAATTCTTGTGTCAAATAATTTAAAATTAAAAATTTTGTACAACCGACTTCATTATAAAATATTAAGAATAACTCAAAAACTATTAGTCAGACCTTGATTTATATGGGACCACATTAGAAGCACCAGCTTTCAAATAAAAAAAGTCATCATCATCATCAGTTCATCCAGAAAGAAGTTATAACACACATAAAAAAAAACATACAGTCGATTTGAGTACCGTCTCCTTTTTGAAGTGGGTAGAAATAACATATGTAGAAGTTAAATAAAATTATTACAGCCGTCCTTGTAGCTAGAGTATAGCTCCGGTTGATTGTCTATTTCTATCCAGAAAAGCGGCTTTACTGGTACTTAATACAAAATTAGCATTTTATAGTTTTTAAGAATTAAACGCATTTTTGTAAAAGGTGTAAAATGGTAACAGGGATTAACTTTGTTTTTTCTTACGACAGATTGCAGGAGATTGAAATGCAAATTTGCGGTGGCAGCTCGTCAAGCTCGCAGGAGGAAAACGAACGGAATCGTGAGAGCATTATTTAACGGCGCGCCTATGTGTCGCGCGCGTCGCAACGTCCTCGCGTGTTTTCACCTGTACCGATGTCTCACCTCTCCAAGGTGTATTGACACACGGGACATTGCTCGACGCGAAATTAAGCGTCGGTTACAAAATGTCGGTAACACTGCATTACCGCCATTCACGGCGTACGCTCCTATACATGTGCAAACGATATATGACTATTGAAGTGTTTTTATGATGAAATAATATTATTACGGAATATTTAAATACGAATTAACTTTATCAAAATTTATATACATATACTTTGTATATACGACTCGCTGATAAATGACGAGTGTTCGCGGAGTGAGATTTTGCCCAGACAATATTATCTTTAATCTAATATCCTTTAAGTACATCGAGGTGTGTGGAGTGCTCGGAGTGCATGTGACCGGGTGCAACGTACATATTATGCGTCTACGCATTCTCCGTTCATATTATGCGGTTATGTTTCGTGCTTATGCAACTTTAAAATGTCTTCGACATTTTAACTACATATTATGATTGTTGTATATAAATTCTCTCTATGAAAGTGATTAAGTTTATGTTGTTTAAAATGCTAAGGTGATTAGTGGTTTCGAATACATCAGATGTATTTACAAATTTTATTTTATTGATTCGTTGTTTTACTATCTTGTATGTATCACACATATTAACAGTCTCTGTACAAAGTTATATTAAGTCAACATGTATTCGACTATTGTACCATGTGCCAAACGACTGTGCCAAAAATGCAAGTGACGATGATTTTTGTTATATTTGTACTAGATAAAAGGGGACAGGTAATTCTTATCTACTAAATTTGAGCTTTAATAGTTAAATCTCGGAAGTCAGAAATTACATTCCAATCTTTGTAAACTATCACTCCACTTCCTCACTTGTTTATAATACATTTAGGAAGGAACTAGGTAGAACTTTCTTTCATAAATTTGATATGTTATCTGTGTATATTCTTAAATACTTAAATAAAAACAAAACATTGTTAGTTCTTTCGGAATTATTTGTTCTGACAAATAAATCGACCATAGTATGTTGTAATTTGTTATAAAAACCTACGTATGTAAGGAAAGTAGCTTAAAATTGATAGGTACATACATCAGGTTGGTGTATTAAAATTCACTACTGCCAAATAAGATTTAAGTAGATAAAAATGTTTTAATATAAAATTATTAATCAAGTAACTGAATGAAGTGTTTTATACTTAAATTCTTTATAAATTTTCAAGAATTTGGTTAACTCGTTGTGCAATATTAAATGCATTTAAATGAGTTTCTATTGTTAAAGCTCTCGAAAATGATATTTTATTCTCTTCTTTTTTATGCATCAAAATGCTCTGATAAAAATTGAAACGGTACCAAAATGTAAGGGAGATTGAAATAATTCAATGATAAGGGGATGTAAATACTGTTTATGATATACACGTATTTATAAGGCATTGTTTTCCAGTATATTTGTTTTTAGTTTTTATGCCAAAAAAGACACAATGGGACTGTCACGAGGGTTAGTAACGAGTTTTTGACGGCGGTCATGTATCTATTTTTTATTTTTATGCCTGTATATGTTCATTAAAAGTGTCATAAACATGCCATTAATAAAACCGAACTCATATCAATACGAAATGCGTAAATTTTTATATTGGGGTTTTCCATTACTCATTCTTAGTTATAATTTGATCGACGGCTTTATTTCCTCGAACGCCCAAAAATGTAATAGATAGGGGATACAATTTTTATCTGTAAATAAAAATTTATTTATTGTTACATATATTCCATAAATTTTTCTTCTTACATATTTCTCGATTATAAATTGGTAAGTGAGGTGCATTTTGCGAATAAATAAATTAAATGAAAATGCAAGCGCTTTTTGTCGTATAACTGTATATTATGTACTTCATAATTTGGGATTTGTGTATCAGATAGTTTCTGCTCAAGGCAAGATACCAAACGTAAATTAATTTTCGATGTACACAACAAATGCTAGTGTTAATGTTTATTAATTTATTAAGAAGCCGGAACCTGATTCGGAAATTCTTCCATAAAGGATTGCGTGTAAATTGGAAGTTCAAATATGTATCGCACATGATTCATTTTATTGTTAATAAAAAGATTACAATAATTAAGTTTGTGCGTTTGATTTATAATCTTAAGATACACAGTAGGACAAAAATGTGTAACAAAGCGATAGATGTCACTGATGTTAATTTAGAACCAGTTAAATCTCATGACCGAACCAGTTATTTGTGCTTACAATATCCATCGTTTCTAAATAAAGAGTTCGCCAAAATGATCTGTTTCCAGTCTGTATAATCTTCACTGTCACTGCTCCGCTCAACAAATTAACGGACTTGAAACGCCCTTTAAATTTTATTTTATTATTATTTATCGGACATATGTGCATACATAGCTAATTAAAGCCTTTAAAAGTTTGCTGGTAAAACATGGAAAGTTGGTTGGGTGAATATCTCATCTTATTAGTCCCCGGGGATTAATGCATCTGCATTTTGATTTGACTCTTAAACAAGAATAAATATAGGGTGTCACTGGCCCATAACATACACTTATCATAAGGAGGCCTGTGTGCTCTGTAGTTGTCTTTATTTTAATATATAAAATCACTTTGCAAATTGACCTATGTTTCTGGGTTTAAATTTCACTTAAGGAAGTATTCCATTTAAGTCTTTATAACGTAATTATCTTGTGTTACTATTTTGAATTTTATGACTTTATTAAATACTATCAGCCCAATGATATGATTATTATTATCATTATTATATCTCCTTATTTATTTACATAATGACATAATAAAGTAAAGTTACAGCCTATATACGTCCCACAGCTGGGCACAGGCCTCCTCTCACTTCTGAGAGAGTTTTAGGACAAGGAAATAGGAAATATACCTAATATAGTGGACTAGATACGAGCATCGTAACAATATTACGGTAAATATAATCAATTTTAAATGAAAGAAAAATTAAACTGTTTTTCCGCGTCATTATAATTACGAAGGACTTAAGTTAGTACGGGATTTAAGAATTCTTTTGGATTCTAAAACGCTATTTTCCGAGAATAGATCACATTGCAATATGGGATTCTTTATGAGGACTTTTAAATATTTATAAAACATAAACAGTCTAAGTCTATCTAGCTTTTTTGTCGCAGTATTCTTGAATATGGTAGATCCATATGGTCTCTGCAATATGCTACATACATCAACAGATTAGAAAGAATTCAAAAACTTTTCATAAAAACGGCATGCGTCGACATGGAATTTATAATGAGAGTTGATGATCTAGACAAGAATTACTCGATATGTGCTATTTTCATGACATCTTTTACAGTAACATAATTTAAAATTAAAAAATATTTACTGCCGACTTCAATATAAGTTATTAAAAATAACTCAAAAACTATTGGTCTGACCTTGATCAAATTCATATCGCACTACACGAGAAGTACCAGCTTTCAAATAAAAAAAGAATAATCGAAATCGGTTCACCCAGTAAAAAGTTATGAGGTAACAGACATAAAAAAACATACAGTCGAATTGAGTTCTGTCTCCATTTTGGAAGTCGGCGGATAAATAGTCCTTACCGTCTCAGTAGCATACGGTTCGGCAATATTATGTAGCGTACGAGAAACTCCTCCTTTGAATATACCCAAAAATCATACCAAATACGGTGTGAATGCAGGTATGACTCGTCTACCGAAAATTTATTATAGTAAATGTCATAGCGTTGATGTTATTTTTTTTATATCTCTTAATCTAGCTTTAAATGCCAACTTGTCTAAAAGCTATCTCAAACAAAGAAGCCCTAACCGCCGCGTAATGTACATCTATTATAGATCAACTTCATATATATTGTCTCAATTTTGTGTCATAGTTAGGTAGAGAGTAATTGTGTTCTGTGGTCAGTACCAATTTGAAACGCATGTTGTTTTTATATTTACCATAAAAGCTGAGGCACAGGACCTACGACTTTACGTGCTTTTCAAGGCACGTGGATAAATGCCGCCAAATTCTTTAGAATTTCATGACAGAAAATGAAAATAACTGATTTTGTTCCAACCTAGGATTCGAACCCTAGGATTTTTTACGTGGTAGAGCCATGCTGTAGCTATATTGTGGTTGCAGCACGAATGGGTTAGCTCGACCGGGGTAGGACCACGCTCTCACAGAAAACCAGCGTAAAATAGCAGCTCAATGCTGCTGTGTTTCGTATGGAGAGTGTAGAGAACCGGTGACCCTATTTACTGGAAACGAGGCATTCCATCTCAGTCGTCAAGGGTGGCGGCACATCTGCATTTTGATTCTTAATTCAGGATAAATGTAGTTGTCTATGGGCCACAGCATCCACTTACAATCAGGTGGACTGTGTGCTCGTTTGTCACCCTTATTCTATAAAAACAGAACCCTTTGATTGTATCCTTGGATTGTAGCACGAATGTGAATTCTTGACCGGGGAAGGACTACCAGCGTAAAATAGCAACTCAGCTGCTGTGTATCGTAAGGTGAGTGTAGAAAACCGGAGACCCTTTTTACTGGAAAGAGGTACTTCATCATAGTCTTTAAGGGTGACAACGCATCTACATTTTAATGTTTAAACAAAGGGAGATGCAGATGTAGGTGTGTCTATGAGCCACAGTATCCACTTACCTGTTTGTCACCCTAATTCTATGAAAATACAAGAAATGCTCGTTCTACCAACAAGAGGTAGTCCCACGGTATATAATATCTGCCCCGCATGTTGTTGCAGATATTCTTGTAAAGGTTATTATCATGGAGTGAAAGCCCGAAAATAGCCCTCTTACTATATCTTATGTTATACGAGTACATGTAAAAACATTTGAAAAATATGACAAATATATAATTGAATTCAAAAATTACTATGATAATATACTTAATCCAATAATAAAATAATAGTTTCTTAAGTTATCGGCAAACAAAAAAATATTTTGTGCAGTAATCCATATTTCAAATAATTATT